GAGTAATCCCCTGGCTTTTGTTAAGACCTATGCTCTTGACCTAGCTGCAAGACCAGATGCCAAGTTTGAAAAGGCAGTGTTAACATCACTGTAGTGGGGTAGAAACTCATAGTGCTTCTATAGTGCCCACCTATAAAAAGGGAAATAAGGACAACCCAGGGAATTACAGACCAGTCAGCTTAACTTCTGTACCTGGAAAGATAATGGGGCAAATAATTAAGCAATCAATTTGCAAACACCTAGAAGATAAGGTGATAAATAACAGTCAGCATGGATTTGTGAAGAACAAATCGTGTCAAACCAACCTGATAGCTTTCTTTGACAGGGTAACAAGACTTGTGGATGGGGGGGAGGGGAAGTGTAGATATGGTATATATTGACTTTAGTAAGGCTTTTGATACTGTCTTGCATGATCTTCTCATAAACAAACTATGGAAATACAACCTAGATAGAGCTATTATAAGGTGGGTGCATAACTGGTTGGAAAATCATTCCCGGAGAGTAGTTATCAGCGATTCACAGTCATGCTGGAAGGGCATAACGAGGGGGTCCAGCGGGGATCGGTTCTGGGTCCAGTTCTGGTCAATATCTTCATCAATGATTTAAATAATGGCATAGAGAGTACACTTAAAGTTTGCAGACGATACCAAGCTGGGAGGGGTTTCAAGTGCTTTGGAGGATAAGATTAAAATTCAAAATGATCTGGACAAACTGGAGAAATAGTCTGAAGTAAATAGGATGCAATTCAATAAGGACAAATGCAAAGTACTCCACTTAGGAAGAGACAATCGGCTGCACACATACAAAATGGGAAATGACTGTCTTGGAAGTAGTATTGTGGAAAGAGATCTGGACGTCATAATGGATCACAAGCTAAATATGAGTCAACAGTGTAACTCTATTGCAAAAAAAGAAAACATAATTCTGGGATGTATTAGCAGGAGTATTGTAAGCAAGACATCAGAAGTAATTCTTCCGCTCTACTCCATGCTGATTAGACCTCAGCTGGAGTATTGAGTCCAGTTCTGGGCACCATATTTCAGGAAAGATGTGGACAAATTGGAGAAAGTCCAGAGAAGAGCAACAAAAACAATTAAAAGTCTAGAAAACACGACCTGTGAGCGAAGATTAAAAAAATTGGGTTTGTTTAGTCTGGAGAAGAGAAGGTTGAAAGGGGACATGATGATAGTTTTGTTAAAATTTTGTTACAAGAAGGAGGGAGAAAAATTGTTCTTAACCTCTGAGGATAGGACAAGAAGCAATGGGCTTAAATTGCAGCAAGGGCGGTGTAGCGGGGTAGTCACTCCACTCTGGCCCTGAAGGGAGTCTTTGGAGAGAGGGCTGCCTGGGGGAGCCAATAGTAAAAGCAGCCTTGGAGAGGGCTGTGGCTGGGAAGAGCTAGGCTGACTGGGGGAAGCAGCCACAGCTGGCCCTATAAAAGCGCTGTGAGCCAGGAGCTCAAAGGAGTCTCACCCTAGCCCTGGAGTGGGAAGGGCTAGCTGCCTGAGAGCAAGGTACCTTAAGCAGAGCAGTGCTGGGGAAGGGCAAAGGGAGCTGGGGAGCTCCAGCCTGGTAAACCCCCAGACTGCAGGCCCAGAAAGGTCCTGGGGCTGCAGAGGGGCAGCCGGGGAATAGGCAGAGGCAGCTGGTCCTAACCCCTTGCCGGTGATGAGTGGCCATTACACTGCAGTCTGCCCCAGTGAACGTGGGCTAGATGATGATGGGCAGTAGCCACTGAGGCAAGATGGGTTTAGAGGGTTGGGGGTTCCCCAGGAAGGAGATGCGTGGGGGTACTTCTGGGGCAGAACCCCAAGGGAAAGGGGGAACTGGAGTCTGGGAGGGACACTGGGCCAGCTGCAGGCGAGACACCGGCTTGCGGAGGGCACTCCAGGCTGGAAGAGCTAATTCCCAAGACTACCAGCAGGAGGCGCCACATCAGTGAGTCGTTGCCTCGCTACAGGCGGTTTAGGTTGGACATTAAGAAAAACCTCCTAACTGTCAGAGTGGGTAAGCACTGAAATAAATTTCCTAGGGAGGTGGTGGAATCTTCATCATTGGGGATTTTTAAGAGTAGGGTTGCACAAACAGCTGTCGGATGGACTAACCATCAGAGAAGTGAAGTTCTGGAATAGTCTTCCAAGGGAAGCAGTGGAGGCAAGAGACATATGTGGCTTCAAGACTAAGCTTGATAAGTTTATGGAGGGGATGGTGTGATGGGATAATTTAATTGCCAAAATTAGGCTATCTTTGACTATTAGCTGTAAATATGCCCAATGGCCTGTGATGGGACACTAGATAGGGTGGGATCTGAGTTACTACAGAGAATTCTTTCCTGGGTGTCTGGCTGGTGAGTCTTGCCCACATGCTCAGGGTTTAGTTGATCGCTATATTTGGGGTCGGGAAGGAATTTTCCTCCAGGGCAGATTGGCAGAGGCCCTGGGGTTTTTTCGCCTTCCTCTGCAGCATGGGGCACGGGTCACTTGCTGGAGATTCTCTGCACCTTGAAGTCTTTAAACCATGAGTTGAGGATTTCAATAGCTCAGACATAGGTCAGGGGCTTGTTACAGGAGTGGATGGGTGAGATTCTGTGGCCTGCGTTATGCAGACTAGACGATCATAATGGTCCCTTCTGACCTTAAAGTCTGAGTCCAGATAATACTTAGTCCTGCCTTGAATGCAGGGGATTGGACTAGATGACCTCTCGAGGTCCCTTCCAGTTCTGTGATTTCTATGAGAACATGCATAGTGCAGGTGTGGCCCAATGGAAAATGCAGTTCAAGAGAAGGTGCATACCTTGAGTGGGATCCACATTGATGACAACATTTTGAAGAACCATAGTTACAGTAAGGTTAAGTAACTTTTTTCCTCACAGGATAAGTCTTTGGTTTTGACATTCAGAAAATATTCATTTGTTAACCCAGACTCCAGAAGATAACAACTAAGTACCCCAGAGTTTTGAAATAAGAAAAACTGCTTTTTGCACCTACTTTTGCCCTCTATATCAACAATGCAAACACACTGAAGTCTGTAGAGTTGCACAGGTGCAAGTGAGTACAGCGTGATTCTGTCTGTTCTGACTTGGTGTGTGTAACCCTCCCCATCTCCTCAATAGTCTCTACACATTCGTGGGTTTTTTTCCGAAGAAGGCACTAAACTATGATTGCACTGTGTTGAAAATCTTGTTCTGCACATACAGATACTTTCTTCTAACATGATTCAGTTGTGTTTCATTTGTGCAATTAGTACTTGTATTTAGATTAGCATGGTCCATCATAACAGATCCTCTGAGAAGGTTAAAAGAAAAGGAGTACTTGTGGCACCTTAGAGACTAACCAATTTATTTGAGCATGAGCTTTCGTGAGCTACAGCTCACTTCATCGGATGCATACCGTGGAAACTGCAGCAGACTTTATATATACACAGAGAATATGAAACAATACCTCCTCCCACCCCACTGTCCTGCTGGTAATAGCTTATCTAAAGTGATCATCAGGTCACTTTATGATGATCACTTGATGATCACTTTAGATAAGCTATTACCAGCAGGACAGTGGGGTGGGAGGAGGTATTGTTTCATATTCTCTGTGTATATATAAAGTCTGCTGCAGTTTCCACGGTATGCATCCGATGAAGTGAGCTGTAGCTCACGAAAGCTCATGCTCAAATAAATTGGTTAGTCTCTAAGGTGCCACAAGTACTCCTTTTCTTTTTGCGAATACAGACTAACACGGCTGTTACTCTGAAATCTGAGAAGGTTAATATTCTTAAAAAACGTAGTGAAAGCTTTTAATAAAAAACAAAAACAAAAAGCATAACTGGTAACTTTAAATTTAAAAAAACAACAAGGAGTCCGGTGGCACCTTAAAGACTAACAGATTTATTTGGGCATAAGCTTTTGTGGGCTAGAACATGAAGTGGGTTCCAGCCCATGAGAGCTTATGCCCAAATAAATCTGTTAATCTTTAAGGTGCCACCAGACTCCTTGTTGTTTTTGTGGATGCAGACTAACACGGCTACCCCCTGATATTTAAATTTCAACACATCATTTGTCAAGTCATAAAGAAAACAGGGGATCAGAAACTCCATTTGTATCTCTAGTAGGCAGTATGCAACATATGGGATCCCAATGGTTTGACTTCCTTCTTTGCATCTAATTCTGCATTCTTTAAGTGTGCAAAGTTATCATTTCTTTCAGTGAAAGAATCTTGTAACTACAGTCTTGTGATTTGTATGATGATGTCATATTGAGTGTTATATGAAAGTCCTCAACAGGGGAAAAATAATTTCACTCCCCAAAAATAAACCATAACCACCTTATATCATCAATCCATTTCTGAAATGAAATCAGTGAGTTTTGTTGAAAAACCAATGGTAAAGGATCACCTAAGTGTGGCTTCAGGAATATAGTATAACTTTACCCCAAAAAAGGAAAGTAGAAATTATTTTAAAATACACAATAGTGGTCACATGTTAATCTTAAAGTATTTTATAGAATTCCTTAATATTGAAATCCTCCTATTCATCTGATTTTATCACAAACATAAATTAGTTTTCTTATTTCACTTAACATTTTAGGTCATACTTTACTCTTTTGTTTTGGACAGTATACATGTTCAATGCACATATCTAATTAAATAAACAACGTTCTCTGATTATATATGGCTATTTTTTTTCTTAAATGTTTGCCAAATATTATTTTTCTGATTAAATATTGATGAATTGATTAAAAAAATCTAGTGAAAAGTTTCAGTATTTCTGAGGTAATACTATAATTCTTCTGTCAAACAGACTATTTTAGTGCTGTAACTGAGGTCAGCCTCTTAAGTGAAAGACTTATTAAATAAATAAATAAATAAAAATCTTCCCTCACTCCCCCTGTCAAGTGGGAGAAACACTTGCTTGGTGTAATATAGAGGCTAAAAGTTCACAAGTTCTAGTTCAGGAAAGATTGTAAACAGCAATTTTATTTTCTATTTTAAATTGTTCTTTGTATTTTTCAGCAGGTCTTTGTGATATTAATGAAGGGACTACAGTGCCAGAGGATCGCTGCAAGTCACCGACTTCGGGTAACTACAGTTTTTTCAAATACTTTAACATTATAGTTGCACAGAATGTGACTCGCTTTGTTCTAAGTTGTGCCAGAAATGCTTGCTAAGTAATTATATAGAAACCGTCTATGTTAGCTTTTTCTTTCCATCATGTTGTATTCATTTTGCCATTTAAGATTTCATTAACCATTACAGAATTCTGGTTTAAATCAAGGACAATTTATCTGACTTGGAAATATAAACCTAGTTTCTAGTAAGGATGAGTCAAGTGGCATGTGTGAGTTTCAAATAGTTATGCTTCAGGGCGACAGCACATAGGCAAAGATATTCTTAGATTGGAAATACATGCTATCTATGAGGCTGTGAGGAAAGTGAAGGTCTCATGCTACAGTATATTTTATGAGTGCTTTTCCTATTAATTTTGTCAATCACTAGTGTGTGTGTGTTTGTGTGTGTATAATATATGGCAAAATGAATACAACACGATGGAAAGAAAAAGGCTATCATAGATAGATAGATTACTTCACAGCCAGGGAGGAAAAGGGATCTTGGCTAGAGATTGCAGTGTGGAGCTCCTGAGATACCGGTAATATAACACACTTGCAACTTGTGACTACAATAATAGTTTAAGTAGTTTCCATATCTGTGCAAATCACAAGTTCCAACTGGTACTGCTAAGGTTTTTCTGTTTTTAATACAGGTTTACATGGTAAAATCTCTTTGATAAAGGGGAAAAAATCCTGTTTTTTGGGGAAAGCTATTTTTGACTGACTTTTATAGTGTGAGTTTACTGCCATTTTCTCATGAGGGTGGTAGCTGAAAATTTTTGTCAGGCTCTCAGAATTTTCTGGAAGCTAGCAGACTTCCAAAATAGGAGCTCCCCACTCCAAATAAGTTGGCTTTTCCATTACACTGGAGCTGGATTTTTAAAGGAGAACTGCGGTGATTCACTCTAATAGCTCAAAAGTTTAATGAATAATAACGCATTAGGGCTCCGCTCTTCCAAATACTTAAGAATGCACTCATAATGAATATATATAGTATTAAAAATGAATTTTCAAAAGTGTCTAGAAATATCTGTCACTGTTTCACTTTCCCATCACTTTCATCAGACTCTTAATGGGAGCTATCGTTTTACTCATTCTCCCTCAGAAGCTCTAGTCTGATGAGGAGATTACTATTTAAAATTGCAGATTTATTTTATCTGGATATTTAAAAAGTGCCTAAAAGGACTGGGTGGGAACATATATTAAAATTAATTCATCTCATGAATAAACTAATGCCATTATGAATGATCCTTACCACAACAGCCTATAAAGAATACTAAATACCAAAGTCTTTGATCCTATTTATACCCTCTATAGCCTAAAGCCCTTATTGAAAGCTTGGGTAAAAAGGATATGTCTTTTAGGGATCCCAGAATGTCAACAAATTCATACTCTGCTCTTCAAACTGTATTCAGAGTTTCAATGTACATCATCAGACTGTCAATCTGTCAACAGTTAAGATTTTCCTTTTCAGAAGGGCAAATTGAGAATGGAATTGGAATTTGACCAGGACATGATTAGTAGATTAATTCTACTTTACATTTAAAAACAAACAGACTAACTCTACTTCACATTTTATAACCAAATTCTACTAAAGAAGTGTGTTGCTATGATATAGTTACCTAAATACAGAGTTTGTTGAAGTGTTAAACCTGATTTTGGGCTACCCTATACTCTGGTGTAGAGAAGTATTTCCCTCATTTGGATTCAAAGATGTGCTTCCTATTTGTGTAACCAAACAAAAAAACGCTCATCCCCCACCATGTCCAGTAGATGCAAAAATCTATGATCCACTTACTGTATTCTGCTGTTGTTTCAGTGAAATACTTCTGCCTAGATTTTAGGTGATGCTGGTGATAGTTCTAACTGAACTACTTGAATTTGACAGGTAGAGTAAGTAAAATGACCTAACCTGGACATTTAAATTTAAGACAAGTTTTGATTAAAAAAATAATAATTTAGTTAATAGAGCTAAGGAGATAATTCCAATAAAAGGATTAATATAAATGAACCGTAAAATATTGACTTGAGGTATAATTATTTGGTATGTGTGAGTTGTTTTGGTTTTGTTGATTTCTTTTGTTTTTTCAAAAGATAGCAATTTTAGGAGTAAATTAGTGTGTTTCACGAGAAAAGACTGACAACGAGAAGAGGTGAAAAAGTAGACATTTCACGGATGAGAAGAGGGCAAGCAAAGAGAAAAAAGCATGGGGAACATATGGGGAGGAAAGGAAAGGTAGAGAAATAAGGAGACACCCAAAAATATTCATCCTGCAAGGATTAGCATCTTTTGTGAAAGTCAGGTATCATGGGCCCCAGAAAAATCTTTATGTAGACATCGCAGGTGGAAGGAATATAGTGAACCTTAAACTAAGGAAGGAAAACTTGGAAAACAAAGAAAGGAAGAAGACTGGGAAGGTGATAAAGAAGAAAAGAAATAGGGTGGGTTTTTCATCAGTATTTCCAGCTTATCACCAGTCTTCAAAGACTTTATGAGGGAAAAAACACTGGATTCAACACTGTACTTAAATTTGAAATTCAAAAATTTCAGTAAATTCATTTAACATAATCTCACCCCGCCCCGCCCCCAATCAATTTTTTCTATCTGAGTTAGGGGTCAGGTACAGTATTTAAATAAATTCTACTTGTATTCTGTCATAGAAGAACCAAAGAATATACATGCATAGTGCAGAAATTTAACACACTCTGCTGGGTAGGTAATAAAAAACAAACATCCATCCTGGGTATGTTTTGTCTTGAATTAGATTAAAATTCAGAAGTGGGCTTCTTAAGATAACTTAAACATTTAATTTGCAGTAACAGAAAATGGAGAAATGGGATCTATGGGGCTGGAGATAATAAGTTGTTGGCTTCACAGAGGGACTCTTAGGCCATATCTACACTTACCGGGTTTCGATGCTGCTGCGATCGATTTAGAAGGGGTCAATTTAGTGAGTCTAGTGAAGACCCGCTAAATCGACTGCAGAGCACTCTCAGGTACCCCACTGGAATGAGAAGATTAAGGTAAGTCACCGGGAGAGCATCTCCCGTCAACTCAGCATGGTGTAGACACTGCAGTAAGTCAACCTAAGCTATGTCAACTGCAGCTACATTATTCACTTAGCCGGAGTAGCGTAACTTAGGTCTACTTACCACAGTAGTGTAGACAAGGCCTTAGAGAGGGCAACAAGACTGGGGAGGACCTAAGAGATGCTGGGAAGGTGGGGAGTGGATATTGTCAGAACTTAGGAGCTCCAGAAGAAATCAGAGCATCAAACACTGATAGACTAAAGTTGCAGAGAATAGAAGGCAGATTTTGGTGTTTGGAGTTTGTCTAGTTAGGGAGAGACTAGCTATGGGGTAAGACTGCAATATCCAAATATAACTTTAACTTTATTAAGCTTGGCATTTTTTAAAAATTCAGTGAATATGGTTTTGGAGCTTACAGTTATAAAATAATGCTCAACTAGAGCTTGATTAGGAGACGGGTTGTACAACAGTCTGGAAGATCAGTGTTTGGGACTGAAAGTCTGAGACCTCTTCGGTCAACTGAAGCTACAGCATGAATGGTGTGACAATTTGAGTCTTCCAAATGAACAGAGCTGCAACTTCAGTTACCCTCTAACTTCCTCCACTGCGTGGTTACACAGATTTACAGCTATAAAAAAGGCTCCATGCCCTTGCTAGTTGGCAGAGCATCCTCTAGCTTTGAGACACCGAGAACTAAATTACAACAGAAACAAAATGAAAACCAAAACAAAGAGATTATAAAAGCATTAAACTTTGTTTCCCTCATCTAGTGCCCTGGATAAAGTTGCATAAAATATACAAAGTGCCATGCTTGGATACCTAAAATAGTAAGAAAATAATACCCTTGTAACACTTTCTGTCCTTTCTATTGGTGTGGGGTTTTTTTTAGTGATTTAAAAACCTGCAGTGTTGGGTATTTTAATAAGATTAAAAAAGCCACCAAGTTAAATGTCTCTAAAACAGTGGTTCACAAATCGTAGCCCATTCACCATCTGTGGTCTTTAGAACCACTGCTTGCAGAATTAAGTTTTCTGTTGTGGTGTTGGGATAGGAGTTGTTTGCAGAATAAAACTGCTGCTCTAAACAGATTTCTTTCTTTGAGACCAAATGATGCTCTATATTCCATTTGCTCTGTAGATCCAAATCTGGATAAATTCTTTGTCCTCTTATTTACAGACCAACATACTAGGTGTCCACATATTAAAATGTTTATATTAAATAAAATAAATGTCTCTAACCAAAATAACCCAGATGCACTGTGTTGTGGTGGTGTGTCTTGCTCTAATACGTAATTTTGCTTCAGATTACCTGCTTATTTTTGTGTACGCTTCTTTATTGCAAAGAGTTTGGCGTCTATAGTGCCACCACATAACAGAAAGCTTCACTAATCTTTTGATCAGTACTTTGATGTATCTTAGCTGTGAAGTCAGTGTGACAGTATGTTAAGTCTCATAAGACTTTTTAAATATAATGCATAGTCTTTCTGTCAGATATGTGTTGTACATGTATCTTGTTTTGTGAATGTCCATTTTGCATGTCTATTTCATTCTGTCTTCACTCATATAGGTTCTGGTTCTCCAAACAATTCTGATGATGATGATCAAAAAATGAATAATTTTATAGAAAAGGGTACAGTATTTTTATTTTAACAGCATTATTTATTTTGTTCAGTTCATCCTTTTAGTACATTTATAGTTTTTGACATTTTTTGTTAAAATATTATTTACAGTGAAGACCAAAGGCAGAAAATTTTCCAAGATGGTAGCCAATGATATAGGTAGGAACTAGAAAAATTCTGCTTTCTTCCTAATTTAGTGCCTTACTCTATGCAACACTAACCCAACAGCAAAAAATTTCAAATTGTAGTGTATTTAGTTCTTAATCTATCTTTCCCTGTGCTAAATGGTAATCCTTTGGGCTGCTTCTGTGCTAAATATATTGGGCACAATGATTAACAAAATCAAGGAGAAACGGTGTTTTAATACTTTAATTTATATGATGTGCACCTTCCTATTTATTTGGGAGAAGAGGTTCTACTTTATTCTGAAATATTAGAAGGGTTCAGTCTATGCAAATTGCAACATACTATTACGTTTGTTGTGGTGCAGTATACTTTAGAAACTGTTGCTGATTTACTTCCTTGTAAATGTCACACCCATATCCATAAGGCCTAGTTTTCCCTACAAGTTTTCAAAATAGTGGTAGGATTGCATTTTCCTTCAGCATAAAAAGGAACGAGAGCTATATATATACCTATCCTCATTATCAATACTATAACCCAGAGCGGTATATGCTAGCGGTATCCAGCCATAATATGACAAGTCACCAGTCTATAAATTCTTTTAAATAAAAGTTGCAATTAAAAATGGTTTGAATTATGTTGTATGCAAGCTAAGAAATGAACCCTTTTATGGTCAGAATGGAAATATGATGGATTGATAATCTAACACATGGTCAGTAAGGAAATAAGGCAAATGGGTATTTGGTGTATTCTGGGAAAAGGTCTCTTCATTTTTCTAATTTATTCTTATTTCAGCATTAGTACTTTAAGATTTTTATTTGTTGTATCTACATTGTATGGTAGCAATAAGATTTAGTTATATTCCTTTGGAGATATTTTATTCCAAAGATTTAATCTGTGTTGTTATGTATAACAAGATTGTTTGGTATACCTCTAATGTCTTTTAGAATATAAGTATACTTCATAGAAAGAATAACTAATAGTGTAGTAATAATTATTTACCACAGATAAAGAAATTGTTGAGACAATGAGTGAAAGTAAGTTTGAAAGTGACAATCCAGAATGACATGTCCAACTTCCACCATAGGATTTTGGTACCTCACTATCACGTTTACGATCTTTTCTGGACCTCTTTCATAAAGTAATATCCACAAACCTAGTCCTGCGGAGACAAAAGTGGGTGGTGAAGAATTCTAATGTTTGCTGGCTGGCAAATGACTAGCTATTGTATTTTAATAGTTAGGGTCCCAGATAGACTCATTAGCTATCTTTAATTGTGAGTGCTAAGCACAAAAAGTTTGAACCCTCTATACACAAGAATTTGTTCCATTACCTCTATCATAGAGGTATTTTATGAGTAATCTACGAACATAGGTTCCATTACCTCTATCATAGAGATATTTTATGAGTAATCTACAAACAGCAGAATTTGCTGAATAAGGTATAAGACTAGGAGTTGAGATAATTGGATTTTTATTGGCTCTGATTTATAGTTTGACCTTTGGCAACTCACAACTTTTTCTGCACCTGAATGGAACAAAGGGAGACCAACAAGTAAAGACAGTGCAGCAACTAAAGGGAAAAATATAGCACTCAAAATTCAGAGTTGTATGAATGTTGATGTGAGGAGGTTGTGAAGGCTGCTTACCCTGTCCCATGTATGGAGACTGTAAGAAATGCCTCTTAAGCTAGTAAAAAGACTCTATACCAGAGACAGCAGGAAGGTGGAAAGAGGATGTATTTTTGTCCCAATCCTGATTGGAGAGCTGGCCACAATAATAAAAGCATCAGATGTAACAGGATCTCTCTGTTCTGAACATCCCAGGACTGAAATAAGAAGGGTGTTGGAAGTCAGTTTTATAACACAATGGTAGAGTAATCTGACACAGCTTGCAAAATTTTACCTGATGGTTTTACATGTTATCTTTGCCTGGTAGAGAGGTAAATCATCTTCCTCTTAAGTGTTCCAAAAGGAGTGTTCTTTTCTATATTTTAATTAAATGACCTATATTATGCAAAAAAATTGCTTTTAGTTATGTTAATTGTTGACCAGGCTGTCTGAGCTGTTTAACTTGACTCTGATGTTGTAATTTCTACTGTGTCATCACTATATTGCAGCATTATTGTATTAATAAAACAAATCAGTGATAATTATACAGAATTATACACATCTGTTCCATTCTAAAGTCTTTCTAAGGGAATAGAATAGTGTCTTGAATTTGCTTCACAACTCAAATAACGTTCTAGAACAAGTTTGAAAGAATTGCATCTTTCAGGAAAAAAGTGATATGCAGAGTTAACTTGAGCCTGATGTTAGCTATGTGTAATATCCTTTAATTAAGGCTACAATTTTGTCATGAATGTCGTGGAAGTCACAGAATCCGTGACTTCCAAAGACCTCCATGTCTTCAGCCCGGCGGTTGGGAAATGCAGAGTTGTGCCGCCTCCCACAGCTGCAGGGAGCTGTGAGGTATCCTCGCCATCTGAGGCAACCGGCCCCCAAATTCCCAGCCACCATAGTCAGCAGGGGTACACCAAAGTTCCCAGCCACTGCGGGCAGTGGGGGTACCCCCAAAGCTCCCAGCCACCATAGGAGGGGCTTAGCCTGGCAACTCACTGCTGCTAGCAGGCAGGGGGACTCTGGCAGCTCCCTAGCCATTGCCATGGGGGAGCAGGGGGACCCCTGATGCTGGGGAGCAGGCAGGGGACCCTGAGGCTCCCCTCTGCCGCTGGAGCCCAGAGCTCCCAGCCACCCTGCAGCTGCCCAGTCCCTTCCCATTTTATCATGGATATTTTTAGGAAAAGTCAGGGACAGGTCAGGGGCAATAAAGAAAAGTTCACAGAAGCCTATGACCTGTCCCTGACTTTTCCTAAAAATATCCATGACAAAATCTTTGCTTTACATATAGTCCATGAACTCCACATTGTAACTTGAAATTTCTGCTATCAGTTTAATAAACTGTACAATCATTGAAAATTTTGTCATCTCACTCATAATTATTTACTAGGTTTGTGAGTAGACAGCTGTCCTACTAATAATGTAGGAGCCCAGTGAATCTATCTAGAAGAATTAGAAAATGCCCATCTTCATGGTTCTTACGTTGCCATTATGAATAGGATTGTTGTGTAATTTTACATTTGAAATGTATTAAGGAGTGACCACTTGAAGTCGGTGAAAACAAAAATACTTTTTTGCATTGCCGTTTACTGTACATTGTATGTGGCATGTTTATGTTGCATGGCTGTTTTGTGAGCTTATGGTGCTACTTTAATATCTTCCTTTTCTCTCTCATATTACAGAATGTCACTGTCTCTTGCCATTATTTGACATTAATAATTGCATGTTTTATCTCTTCATTGTTTCAAAATGAATTGTGATCAGTTGGATAGGGATTGGGATATTTTGTAAAACGTGTGCCATCTATTGTTACCAATTTTATTGATCTATTGTAAAACAAATCATTTCACTTTATCAAATGTATAATCAGATGGGACTTGTCTTGTGGCATGATTGCAGTTCATTGCATTGCCACACAAGGAACTCTGAATTCCAAAATAAGCTTCTGGAATTCTTTGTCCCCAACCTGTTGAGGATTTAGCCCATCAGAGAGGCTACTCTTGGATATTAGATAAGGTGAAGTTACCCACACTTCCCATTGCTCTAACTTGCAAAGTATTATTTTCATAGGAAGATACTAATCTTGTCCTTGTGTTCAGTTACCTGCTGCCATCATGGCAGCAATTAAGGGTAAGGAGGTGTCATTCATGAAAGGATAATTGAAAATCTAGCTCCCACCTAACTGAAGAGAAAAACAGATACTATTCCAGTGGCAGGACCATAAGGAATTGTCTCCCTAAAGAAAATTTATAGATGTCTAAATCTTTAAACTGGGGCTGTCAAGCAATTAAAAAACTTAATTGTGATTAATCATGCTTTTAAACAATAATAGAATACCATTCATTTAAATATTTTTGGATGTTTTCTACATTTTCAAATATATTGATTTCAATTACAACACAGATTACAAAGTGTACAGTGCTTACTTTATATTTATTTTTTATTACAAATATTTACACTGTAAAAAACAAAAAAAAAGTATTTTTCAATTCACCAAATGCAAGTACTGTAGTTCAGTCTCTTTATCATGAAAGTTGAACTTACAAACGTAGAATTAGGTACAAAAAATAACTGCACTGAAAAATAAAAAAATGTAAAACTTTAGAGCTTACAAGTCCTCTCAGTCCTACTTCAGCCAATTGCTCAGACAAACAAGTTTGGTTACAATTTGCAGGAGATAATGTTGCCTGCTTCTTGTTTACCTGAAAGTGAGAACAGGTGTTCACTGTTGTAGCTGGCGTTGCAAGATATTACATGACAGATGCGCTAAAGATTCACGCTTCAGCCACCATTCCAGAGGACATTGATCCATGCTGATGACAGGTTCTGCTCAATAACCATCCAAAGCAGAGCGGACCTACGCATGTTCATTTTCATCATCTGAGTCAGATGCCACCAGCAGAAGATTGATTTTCTTTTTTGGTGGTTTGGGTTTGGTATTTTCCACGTCGGAGTGTTGCTCTTTCAAGTTTTCTGAAAGCATACTCCACACCTCGTCCTTCTCAGATTTTGGATGGCACTTTGGTTTCTTAAATCTTGGGTCGAGTCCTGTAGCTATTTATAGACATCTCACATTGGTATCTTCTTCGTGTTTTGTCAAATCTGCTGTGAAAGCGTTCGGAAAATGAACATTTGCTGGGTCATCAGCTGAGACTGCTATAACATGAAATATATGGCAGAATGCAGGTAAAACAGAACTGGAGACATACTATTCTCCCCTTAGGAGTTCAGTCACAAATTTAATTAACATATTATGTTTTTAACAAGCATCATCAGCATGGAAGCATGTCCTCTGGATGGTGGCCAAAGCATGAAGGAGCATACAAAGGTTTAGCATATCTGGCACGCAAATACCTTGCAATGCCGGCTACAAAAGTGCCATGTGAATGCCTGTTCTGACTTTCAGCTGACGTAAATA